CCTCCTCTCTCTCTCTCTCTCCCTCTCTCCCTCTCTCTCTCTCCTTTCAGTATATCTTATAAATGATAATTTATAACTTATAAATGATAATTTTATAACTTTCGTTAAATTATTCTACAACTAAGTGCCAATGTTATGAATAAAATAGATAATGTTTGTTATCAATTATCATTTGCACGACAAGTGGAAGATATTAAAAAGAAGAGAGAGAGAGAGAGGGAGGGAGAAAGAGAAAGAGAGAGATCAGATTTTTTTGTAATTCATTCTTGCTTGATTATCAAATAATATGTTGTCAATAATATCAATAATATATTAATTATCAATAGTATATTAACTTATCAATAATGAATAAATTTTTTATATTACATGAAAAAATATATTTTTAAATTAAACTTTAACATTTATCAGTTTGTATTTTGTTCTACGATTAATTTGAACATTTGCAACATATTATAATGCATAGGTTTATGTAATGAATCATGCTACAATAATTTTCTAATGTTTTAAATTTTTCGATTAATTGATTATTTCTTTTATTATAAAAATTTGTTTGAGCAAAAATAAAAGTGTAAAATCATTTTTTCCTTTCGTTTTTTTTTTGTTTAAAAACAAAATTTTTAAAATTTAGATTTGGACAAAATTTACTGATTCAATTTGAAGATTTTGCACGACAAAATGCTTATCATCTTTTGGAAAGATATCGAAATCAATATTGCGTTTTCAATGATGATATACAAGGTAATTATTTGCATAATATTTACAAAATGACATCAAGAAATGTACTTACTTAATTTTTTTTTTATTGTCTAACTTTTTTTTTCTTTTTTTTTGTATATAAAACATATTTATGATGTATATCACGTATTCGTTTAGTTAATATATAACAATTTATTTATCGTTTCACTTTTTCATTTGTTATGACAAATTAAAATTTATCTTTTTAAAAGCTTTTTATTCGTTTATTATTTATTGCAATTAATTAAAATAAAATATCTCAAGTTTTATCTGTTTTTCTCAGGTACAGCTTCGGTAGCTTTAGCTGGACTTTTGGCATGTCGTAAACATACCGGAAAATCATTATCTGCTGAAAAATAATCTTTTTTGGCGCTGGCTCTGTAAATTTTAGCTTTTTTTTTTCTTTCTTTCAACGATATATCAACAATTGTGATTGATAATTAATTCTTTTTATTACTGTATGATTAGATTAAATGATAAGTTAAAAATATTTTGTAAGTGCTAAGAGTTATACAAAAACTTTACATGTTTCATTAATTTTTATCTGTCGTTTTTCTTACCTCTTTCTGTTTGATAATTTTTACTTGTTATCATATCATTATCATTAAAATATCAATATATATATGATAGGCTGCAATGGGAATTGCGGATTTATGTATTACACAAATGGAACAAGAAGGTATCAAACGTAAAGATGCCCGTTCACGAATTTATTTAATGGATGCTGATGGTTTAATTACTCAAAATCGTTTATATATGGAAAAAGAGCATATACCATATGCTAAAGTTATGCCGGAAACAAAGAGTTTACTGGAAGTTAGTAATATTTTTGTAAAGCCACCGTACCGAGATATTCCGAGATATATTTACACCGAGATATTCCGGGATGTTTAAATAATTTAGACAAATTAAAAAGCGAAAATGATTATTTTTTATTATTCATATCTAAAAAAAAAGTGAAACAGCTAGGGCTATTTATTCAAACAAATTGAAAAATCTTTTCAAATAGTTATTTTCAAAAAAAAAAAAAGAAAAAGAATTGCAAAATGTTGTGGAACTGGTTAATTAAAATCTACAATTAATTATCCGACTAAAATTACACTCCATATTTCTAAAGTGAAATATTTAGTTAATTAAAAATATCAAACCAACTGTATTAATTGGTGCATCAACAATGAAAGATGCTTTCAATGAGGAAATTATTCGTACAATGGCAGAATTAAATTCGAAACCGATCATTTTCGCACTATCAAATCCAACAAAAAATGCGGAATGTACAGCAGAACAAGCAATTTGTTGGAGTGATGTACGTTTTTACCTTTTTAAGTAATTATTTTTTTTTTTTTTAAAAAAAATGTCTTTTGTTAAGTTTATATTTTCTTTAATTAATATAATAACATCTTAGCCTCATTTTCTTTTTTTTTTTTTTTTAGGGCAAAGTATTATTTGCAAGTGGAAGCCCATTTGAAAATGTGAAATACAAAGGAAAATTATATAAACCAGGACAAGGTAATAATTCGTATATATTTCCGGGTGTTGGTATGGCAGCTATTTTATTTCGAATTCGACATATTGACGATGAAATATTTCTGATAGCTGCTCGAGTTTGTTTACTTTTTTTGTTTTTGTTTTCTTTTTTTTTTTTTCTTTTAATATCCAAAAACATTTACTGGGTATAGCATATCAAATTTTTATGTTAAAAAACGATAATCAAATTTAATAAAATTAATAGTACGATAACTGATAAGAATAACATTTTATCATTTATTTGAGCTATTTAGTATTTTAGTTTGTGAATAGTAATGGTATTTGAAAGTAATTGTGTTATTTTATAGGAAGTGGCTAGATGTGTTAGTAATGATGATTTCAAGTATAAGCGTTTATATCCGAGTTTTAATCATATTCGAGAAGTTTCAGTGAAAATAATTTTAGCTGTTGCGAAGTATAGCTATGAGGTTAGATTAATAAATTTTAGAATTATCAACTGAAAGTTTCGAGCGTAAAATCCGTCGCACTTCCTTTAATTTTTCTAAAATATCTGATTTTATTGATGAAAACAACCAAAGTCATACAAACATTGAAGCTAACAATTTGTTCGATATTTTGCGATTGAAAAAAGTTGATAAATTTCGATTGCATAGTTTTTTTTTTTCAATTTTTTGGAAGCTCAACTTACAATGACAAATCGTTAAATTATTATAATTATACTCATTATACTATCATAGCAATTTAACTATGCAATGATGGTTTATTTTTCATTAAAGTAGCATAAGGTATGGTTTAACAAAATCATAGTGATAAAAACTACAGAAAAATTTGGCAGCACTTTATCCAAAACCAGCAAATATGGAAAATTTTGTGCGTAGTCAAATGTATCAAACATCATACAGTGAAATGATCGATTACACATACGATTGGCCAGAAAAAGATATGATCCAAGGCTATCCTATTCCATATGAAGAGAAGAAATATGATGATTAATTAATTTAGTCGAAAAAATAAAAATAAACGAAATGATATAAATTATTCATTCCTTTCCATTTCTATTAAAAATATTTTTGCGAAATTGTATAAAAACAATTTACTAAGCATTATTAAGCATCAGTTATTGAGAAAATAGGAATAATTCAATTAGAAAGTAATGTTGCGAATGAATGCGAAGTTTCGTGACAAGAAAAAATATAAATATTCATAAATGCATGTGTTAATATCAACATCAGCAATATCAGCATATTGCAAAGAATCTCTGGTCAATGCTGGCATATTGTAAAGGTCCTCAATTCAACTTTGGGTTGTTCAATCGGTTTTAAATTTCCTAACTGTTATAAACATGACCTTTCTATATAAAAAGGTTTTGTGAAAACATCAATACATGACCACATGCAAGAGACTTGATCATCTATGGAAAATATGGCGAGAATACCTGGAAAAGCTAAGAAAACGAGCTCAATGCAAACACCGAGGGCCTCACAGCCAAATTCGACGAGAACCCGAAATTGATGATCTAATGTTGAAAGGAGACTGTCCCAGAAATACCTGGAGAATGGGAAGAATCGACAGACTCATAAGGGGCAAAATGGTATGTATCGATCAGCGGTTGTAAGAATAACTAACGGAAAAGAGCTAGTGAGAGCAGTGGGACACCTCTACCCTTTGGAGGTTTCCAACCGAGGATAAGGTGCAGACCACGTTCGCCTCGGGAGTGTTGCCGATATCGCGAGTAGAAACAAAGAAACAATAGTCTCTTTTTTGAAAGCCAGACATCTTTGTTTCATATTCTCATATCCGTCTTACATTTGCTCTAACAAAGAACCCAACACCAATGGGTGCTCCATAAAGATGCTAATTGTAATCATAAAACGGTACAAGGACCCTCCTAGTCGAGGCGGAAGGTCCTTAGCACTAATCCATTTTTTCAAATGTGTTTCGTTGAAGTCGGTTGGATATAAGTTATCGGGTGTCGGAAAACCGAGAGAATTTATTATACATTGAATGCTTAGAATATTTCTAATGATTCATCACTGTATTTATTCACTAATTTACATTCTCTAGGACCTAATTTCCCATACGTTTCTGTTATCTTTGTTTAACAAAAATTCACATTTTAATGACAAAGGATGTCCAATTTACATGCTAACCTTCCCATCTGATCTTGTTACAATGCTTGTTATGTAATTGAATCTACAGTTTCCTTTGTATCTAAATGAACACCCTTTTTTAACGTTTTATGTAGACCACTCTTACTTCTTAATACATAAAAACCCTTGGGGTAACAAGGGGTCGGCTTTTTTGGGCTGGTGCTCTTCCATAGTTCACTACTGTCGTGAAAACGAAGCTTCAAATAAATTCATTCACATTGTAAATTAATGCTAATGATACTATGAATCACCCTTAACATATTTACATTCCTTAAAATTGTTTCCCACACTCCTTTGTTGTTATCTTATCTAACCAATTTTCATTTCCTTGTTTAAACCTTTAATTTCCCATGTCAATCATTCTGTTTAATCTTGTTATAATGCTTGTACCATATCCAGTGTGTTTCCGACATTTGAATTCTTCATGTAAACCACTCCCATTTCTTAACATATATAATCTGGGTCCAATATCCAGGGGAAAGGTTGGAGCTGCTCTCCTC